TATATATATATATATATATATATATATAAAATATCATAATTAAATCCTTACAAATTTAATTATAAAAGAAAAAATAAATTAGTGGGTCCCCTCTTCCTCCCATGATGCGTACAATGGCCATTAACCTCTTCCCCATTAACCTCCCATGACACTCCCTTCACAATGCATGATGCATGTCATGGTTCCCATTAACCTCTTCATGACACTCCATTGGAGATGCTCTAACAACATAATCCATCAACTAAAATTAATGGGCCGTTTACCAAATGATTACTCGGGTAAGCGTTTACCAAGTTATATTATCTTACCGGATGAATATGACAAGGACCAATAATCTTACCCGGTAAGAGCGAGACAAAGACCAAGAGTCTTACCCGGTAAGTAAGAATAATGACTCTTACCATGGTTAGCTATTATTGGCTAAATTGTTGCATAAAAAGCCGTTTTTGTTGACTAAAATTTTACCTAATAAGTAAATGACATTGTTGAATTTTACCGTTAAGTGCTTATCGGGTCATGTATCCATTCAACCTATTAAAGATGCATCTGCTAAACTTTAAGGGGTAATCTGTGATATTAAAAAATACAATAAACATCAACCAAAAAAGTCTATCGAAATCAACCAAAAAATCTCTTGAAACAGTAGAGTTAGGTAAAAACACATAAGATAACGTTGTGGGCCTTTGGAACAATTCTGCCAAATTGGAATTCGATATGGGATTGGGATCCCATAACCATCCACCCCGTCTCGAGCCTCGTTTGCTAAGCGGGCTCATAGTCCCAGGTTCAGCATGAAATCATAAATAAGCTCTACCAAGGATTGCCAAGCAGCTTCGCTCAGCTGAAGATCCCGACTTTCTATTAGTCAAGCCGCGATCTAGGCATAGGTAGCAATCCATTCTATCATTGTTCCCATTATTTCTCGCGGGAAAATGATCCCACTAAGAAAAGAATTCTACAATACGAAATAGCATAAAAACAGATTTATTTAAAAAATATATTGTCCGTCTATTCAATATTAAATATTCAAATTGTGGCTCGTTTGACGACTCAGTACATAGATGTCACGAGTTCATTGACATAGAATATGGAATCTTTTCCACATAAGTTGGTTGTACAAAGCTTGTTTATGCATAAAAGCAATGTGATTTGGGATCTACCTTAAAGTTATATATGCTTGACCAAAATCTTGAATACTCTTTCAATAAAACTAATCAAATATACATCAAAATATTTGGTCATCCTAAGTTAAACTTTGTTCATTTATACGTCATGACATGATTGATGAAATGTGCCCCAAACAACTTTTCCTTTGCCAAAAATTCTCTAATAATGTATGGAAAACGATATATTTAGAATTATGTTATAGTCATGGTTGTATTTATTAAAATAAGAAAAAATTCAACACATCAAATACCAGTGGCGGAACATCAAAAGGGTTTTTGGGGGCCATGGCCACCCAACTTTTTTACCGCAATACCATGTATGAACATTAAAGAACACATGTGATGTGTGGTTTAAATGGTTATCATTTCTTGGCTCCTATCTTGAGGTTAGGGGTTTGAGTCCCTTAATTTGCAGTTTCTAGTATTTATTATTTTTCCTCCCACCTACTAATATATTAAATTATTAATATCATTTGTATATAAAAATTTGTTTTTAAATATTATAAAGAAATAATGTTTAAGTTACCATATAGTCTTATATTACTAATCTAAAGGTTTTTCCTATTAGTTTATAATAGTCCAAAAACATAATAAATAAAATTGAATGTATGGAACACCACTAATTTTCAATCATCTTAATAGACTATTTTACAAGACTAAAATATAAAACGTCATATCTAAAGACATTGTAATAAGTTTATAAGACATTTTTAGACATCTTACCAAGTTTTTTTAGGACACTTTTATTACAAAGGGTCACATTCAGAATTTTATAGAACGCTTTCTTAATGTCCTATAAACTTATCTTTTTATACGACACTTGTTTTTATATGATATTTTTTCAAATAGTCCTATAAAATTTCTAATGCAACGATTTGCATTAAAAGTGTCTCTTGTTAAGCCGATCAAAAACATTCTATAAATTTATTATGTATTTAGATTGAGTCTTATGGTATTATATTTTGGCCCCTGGCCTAGACTATAAAGTTCGCCCCTATCAAATACAATAATTGAAACAAATTACTCGTTGGCAATGTTTAGTGGTAAATAAATGTTTTATTTCGTGGGTTGATGAGTGTAACTAAAAATAGAAAAAGAGGTGGAAGAGCTACTACTGCTCAGCCCATCTGGCGTATCTGATGGTATGCCGTCTCAGCCACAGCTGATAAAGAATCATATGAAACGCATCATGCGTCTGTGGTTCCGTGTTCCATACTAGATGCTGTGTTGCCACCACACCAGATTCCATCATCTCATCGTACCTACTTTTCTCTATTCCGTCCAACACCCCTCTCAGCGCCTTGGCCCCACCACTTGAACCAACAAACACGGCAATCTCCGACCACTTCATCACGTCCATCAAAGGCAGATCCTGAATCGGACGGTCGGTGACCACCACCGGCACGCAGCCTGCACCCATCGCCTCCACCATCCACGTCATATCGTCGCCGTACATAAATAAACAGAATCTACTGTTCTTCATGAATTCCCCCCTTCTATTCCCCGGCGCGTATTCAACCTTGAACTGTGGATCATCCTTAATTTCTTCAATCAAACTAAACGGACTTTGCTTGCTTAGTTTCATATAACCGAGAAACGCCGGTGTCGAGTTGACCGATGGCATTGTTTGGAAGGGGTGTATGGGGGGCAGGGTTATGTCCTTATGCGGGATGAACAAACCGGAAGACGTCGGAAAACAAGAGATCTGAATGGAATTCTTCTTCAATTCGACAACGTTTCTGTCGGAGGAAGAGTCAACGCCGGCGGCTGAGAGGTAAAAGTGATCGGCACCTAGCGTTCGGTTCCAGAAAGGGAAAGTAATACGAATATTTCTCACCAGACGCGCGAGATTGCGCGTGGAGAGAGAGGAAGGGAAAGGGATGAAGAAGAGGTGAGCCTGGCTAGGGTCATCGGTCACGAACGGGCTGCGGAGGAGAGACGTGTAGAATTGAGACTCCGGCGTGGTGGTGAAGACATTAGCTCCGGTGAAGGGGGAGGGTGGCTCGTAGACAAAGATTTTGAAAGAGTGGAGCATCTTGTCGTAATTGGAGAAGAGGGTATTGGGTGAGAGGTAGAAGGAGGTGCGGGGAGTGGTGGCGGGGAGATCGGAGAGGACATGAACGGTGAAAGTGAGGAGGGAGAGGAGGAGGAGTATGGCAGCCATGGCAAAGGCAAGAGAGGATGGGGGGTGGTAGGAAGAAAGCAGTGAGTATATGACGAATGTGGGTAGGTTTGAGGGGGCGATTGTCATAAATTATATTTTTAATCTTTATTTTTTCACATCAACAAACTACAACCTATTTTTACTTCTTCATTTAACTCGAATCAAATAAATGTGTTACCAAATTAAAATCTAAAGTGGTGCAGAAATAATTATATGTTTGGGGGGGGGGGGGGGCAAAATAATTGTTGTTAGGATATGATACTCCCAAGATATCCATATTTCCAATATCTAATATGTGGTCCGATTAGCTTCAACTTTCCAATTATAGTTGGAGTGAATTATTACATTGGGTCCTTGTAGTTTGTTTAGATTTTGGATTAATTTCTAAAACAAATTATGTAGATGGTTTCTAATTTTTCAATTTCACAGCATTCATGCTCCTTAAAATTAACATCGTCAGTTAACAACTGTTATAAGAGACAAATAAGTCTTTGAAAAAACTATATAGACCAAATGTGTAATTCACTCTAAAATTAGTTGTTATTTATAATTTTTTTTTCTTTATTAAAAGAATTTCAAATACAGTTAACAGGAGATAGTTATATATTAAAAGAATTTCAAAAGTTGAGTGATGTAAATGGTTTTATAATCTCAAAACTCGTAAGAATTCAATGCCAAAATCCAAAATAGCCATAATCATAAAATTGCCAAAACAGCCCCAAGAATAAAAAGATAAATGCATTCAATACAATTCGAATGTTTGCAGCGAGTAAACAACTCCACAACTGAGAATTATTACAAATTTAAACGCAATATAACTTCAGCATCTAAACCAAGACAACTCTACAGTGAACCACACCCTTCCTTTACACTTGGATGAATTTTCAACATAACACTTATCTGAAAATGGTTTAAGTTTGAAAAGCGAGAATTAGACCAAAAGGTCTAGTGAATTCTCTTTTATCAAGCATAAAGAAGCATTAACATTTAAGTAATAAACCGCCATAAAGGCCCATAATATTCAAGTGAATAACCAATCACGAAACGCCGGGATTTGCACAATGTTCATAGACCATATAGTCATCCATTCTGCCATTTATAACCAAGGCCCAAGAAGATGCCTATTCAAAGTGCACATGAAACGAATTCAAGCCACACAAATTAATAAACTCCCAAGGGATTCCACTATCTCAAGGTACACTAATCTCACTATACAAACCCAACCACATATCCAAAATAGCATCATATATATAATAATCGGTATTTAAAACAAGTAATCATTTAAAATACCAACAAAAAACCATAATTAAGTGCTTTAGAAACATTTATAAATAATCCCACGTTTAGAAAAGGATCAAAGGGACCCACCTGAGATTCAGCACACCTCCACGCCTACTAACGGCTAATTAAGCTCAAACCGAACGTCTGAACTGGATGACATAGGAAACTAGGAATGGTGTTAAACCATCTAAATTATCTTGAAAACCATCTATTATGATCCTTAAAACAATCCCCTAATCGATGCCTCGAACCTACATCGAATCAAGAAACGAAGCAAAATCGAAATCACACGAGGCAGTGCCTAAAGCGAGTTTCAAGCACCCAAACCCGCTTGGGTGCTTCAAACTCGCTTTAGCCTCCTGCAACGACTTTTGCACCAAAAATCCAACTTGCATCCTTTGCCCAATCCTTCCCAAATCGATTTGAAGGTGTAAAAACGAGAAATCAATATCCAAAACTATTCTAAACATCAATCTAACCGACAAAATATAAACCACCATCTAAGAATCATGGTTTTAACCTTTAAAACTCGAATCCTTTAAACCCTTAATGAAATCATCTGGTGAGTTTTCTCAAACCAGCAATTTGAAAAACCCCAAATATACTTCAAAATGAAGATCAAAAAGGATTTCAATCACATGATCCAAAGAGAAAATGGATCCTCATCTAAAAATCCAAAATCCCAAAAAGAAGGTGGTTTCTAGATAGAATTCAAACCTCCATTGATGGTGGCATCAAGCATAAAGTGAAGAAGATTACGTTAGAGATGAAGATGATGATTCTTCACTTGAACACTTCAATTTTTCACCAAATTTCAGAAGAGCCACTCTCTTTTCTCTACCAAAAGTCTCTAACTGTCAACACCAAAATAAGGAAAAATGAGGGTTTACTTCCCCTTTAACATAACAAGGTTAAGGTTATTCCAAATACTATTTAAAATAATAAAATTACACATAATCAACTTATTTGGATGTTACCGACCAGTGATGGCTAAAAACCGGTCTCGGACAGTCCCAAGATTTCTCATAACCGGTCCCGATCGAAAAGTTGAACCCGGTTAAAGCTTTATTGTAACCGGTTATGGGCCGCTGGTCCCGGTCCTTTTTATTAAAAAATAATTTATTATTTTTTTAATGATATATAACTTTAATATATTATAAAATTTATAATTGGGTCACTCAAACACACTTTAAAAATGCGTTTTATTATAATTAAAATTACATTGTCTTACAAAATATAGCGAGAAACCGATAATTATGAACGTTTTTTTACGTTTTTTGCGAATCGAGAACTTGGTATGTAAATCCCTCGACCAAGACAATTATATATAGTGTTTAGAAAGCAAAAAAATACAAAAAAAATGGCCAAAAAAGGGTTAGTTTTTTTGAAAAATAACGGCTATTTTTAAAAAAATAGCTACATTTAAATAAAAAAAACGGGTCGGTCCATAACCGGTCCCGGACCGAGCCGGTTTGGCCATCACTATTACCGACATACTGGAACCCAAAAACTTGTGTTCATAAGTAGCAAATAGTATTTTTCTCTTTTAAATTCATCTTCTAGTCATTTTTTATATCTTTTATAAAAATATCACTATCTCCATAAATAACAACTCTTCAACTTACGGAGGAATCAAAAAGTAAAAAATAAACAAGTTTCTGAACATGATCGGTTAAGTATAGGGACCAGATCCACAATTTTTTCCTACATCCATAATTAATGGTCTGACATGATTAAATAATATTACAGTTTTGGCTCCTACACTTGCATGTTCAAAAAAAATAGTATTTCACCCCTGCATAAATTGAGAAATTGTCATTTAATGACATTTTGATAAAAACCCGAATAGAAATAGTTAGTAGATGAATTTTAAAGAAAGAAATCATTATTTAGATCAACTTCCCTAAGTAATTTCAACCATAGTTGATGGCCTAAAGACAAAAATTTAGAAATATCAGTTTTACTAAAATTGCTATATAAATATAATTTAAAACACAATCTCTTAAAATTTATTATATTAGTTTACCACTTACTCTAAGATTATTTTTAATGCCAATAACTTCTTAATTATCATATAAGTTAAAAGATTATAATTTTTTAATTAAACCTTAATAAATAAAAATTTATAAATATATTATACTTTAAATTTTAAATTTAACCTTACCAAAGAATACTCGTGTGGAAACATTGAAAAGGGTACAAAGATATCAAAATATAGTGTTTGTGGAAACTCTAATGACTCGTTTCTCTGGGACATGATACACCCTTCACAACCAGGTTGGTATGCGGTTTCTTCAAATTTATGCTCTTCTCTTCTTCAACTTCTTTAAGGTCGGAAATTGACGGGGGCCTGCACAAGCGGTGGAGCATGGGGCAACTAGCTAGCCTTAGTAGTAAAGGATGTTCGCCCATTAAAGCGGTACGTGAGCTGGTTTCACCATAACCTTTTTTCTAAATCGTAGATATACATGTCTCATATTATATGTGAAACCCTTTTTCCAAAGAGAGAGTAAACTATCATAAGCTATTTATATCACTTTTAAATATTGGGACTTTATATTTGATTTAATATATCTTTAATAAGGATACACGAATAAGAAACTCAATCTCTCTCTCTTTCTCTCTATATATAGAGAGGTGGGTTATTATACAATCATTTGCATTTGTACAACCAATACAACATAATCTCAACCGTCCATTTAATTTGATGAATATGTAATTTTATATAAGTTTTGATTGTTTCCTAATATAAAGTATTGATCATAATTAATGAATCTTATTCATCTTTCATAAATATTTAAATCATAATAAATAAACTCTCAACATTTTCATAAATATTTTAATTTATTAGATTGTATTGATTGAATAAATGTAATGAATTGCATTTGAAACAAACTCTATATATTTATTGTTGTGTTGGTAATTATCTTTGCAAAGAGAATAATCAAAATCAAAGTTACTTGGAAACCTTTCTGGTTTTATTGAGAGTACTTATTTTATTGATATCAAAAAGTTATCTTTTGAAGATATCTTAAAATCTATACCATATTTTAAACATTCGAAGGAAAAGGAAACTGCTCTTGGAAGTACAACTCCCATCCATCCCCCCTATAAATACAAGCCTCCCATTCCCAATTCCCAAACACTTCATCACCACTTCCTTGTTAGTTGTTTCTCAGATCAATAACACGGCCATGGACGAATACGATCACAGTGACAACCCCTCCCACTTTGACAAAAACTACCTTGCTTACCCACTTTCCCACATCGGAAAACACCACCTCGACTCCGGCAACATGATCATCATGCCTCCCTCCGCCCTCAACCACCTCGCCTCCCTCCCTGTTTCTTACCCCATGCACTTCCGTCTACAGAACACCATCACCGGCCACCATTCACATTCTGGTGTCCTTGAGTTCACCGCCCAGGAAGGCTTCGTTCTCTTGCCCACCTCCATGATGAATAACATGCAACTGGAGTCAGGAGATTTGGTAAATATCAAGAACGCCACCCTCCCTAAAGGAACTTACATCAAGATACAACCACATGCCACCAAATTCATCACCCTTTCCGATCACAAGTCTTTGCTTGAAAAAGCTTTCAGAGATTTCGCTTGTCTCACCACCGGCGACGTTGTTGTGATCAACCACGGGGAGGAGAAGTACGTCGTAAATATATTGGAGACGAAGCCATCACCGGCCATATCATTGTTTGACACCGACTGTGAGGTGGAGTTTGCACCTCCCTTGGATTACAAACAACCTGAAAAGAAACCGGTTGCTGATTTTAAAGGAAAGAGAACGAGTGATGAAAACAAGAGTACTCCTGGTTCTAGAGATGATGTAGATATAATGATGAAGGAATATAAACCTTTTTCCGGAATCGGGAGGCGACTGGATGGGATGCAAGTGCCGGAAACTGATCATCAATCAGTGAAGAAATCGAAGAGAAACGAATCAAGCATGCCGACTGATCATGATGGGAAACCGATGGAGAAGAAACCACAGTCCAGCACTGTTGAAGAAAAGGTAAACGGAGAACACGAAGGATTCAAAGCATTTACAGGGAAGAGTTTCCGATTAGGAGGATGATGATGTTGAATCTAATACTTCCCATATCGAATGGGTTTTTTTTGTTTCTATAGATCCTTAATTTGGCTTCTTGATTCTGTAGGCAATAGGTGTTTATGGCGTCGGATTCGATTTCAATTTTTTTTCATTATCAAATAAAAACTTCGATGTTGAAATTGAAATGGAAATTTCTTTCTTTGATAAACCATTGGCCCGTTCATTGGACCCGAACCGGTTTTTATAGTACTTGGGTTTTTGTATAAAAACGGGACATTTGAGGGTGACGGCCCAACCCAAAATCTAGCTACAGCCCAGGCTTTAATCGGTTTGTGAATCCGTTCAAGGGAGAACTGATTAGTTTGGGGTAACTGTGAGATCTAATCTCAACCACAAATCAACAGATAAATTAGGAAATTAATAATTATGGTAATTTGAGTTAAAATTATAATCAGAGGGCATTTTAAGTATTTTTATAAAACTCATCTCTCCTCTCTCATATATCCGACCTCCAATCTCCGGCCTCCGGTGAACATTAATCCGGCAGGTACCAAGTAATCACAAAAATACACAATGTGATACCCATTGTGATATACTGTTGTGATACCAACTATGATACCAACTCAAACCTTAAAAACAAAGATACACAATGTGATACCTATTATGATATACTGTGATACCTGCCAGATTAATGTTCACCGGAGGCCAGAGATTGGAGGTCGGATAGAGGAGAGAGGAGAGAAGAATTTAAAAAAAATATCTAATATGCACTCTAATTATAATTTTAACTCAAACTACCATAACTATTAATTTCCTAATTTATCCGTTGATTTGTGGTTGAGATTGGACTTCACGGTTAGCACAAACTAATCAGTTCTCATTTGATTAGGCCTATATATATATATAAAGAGGCAAATTATTCTGTTAAACTAATAATTAGTGTTAACTTTATTAACTAATATTAACCCTTGATTCTTAAAATCTACGCGTGAGATCAATTTGTGGCATATTGTAATTAATTAAAAATAAAGGATATCAAAACGTAGCTTTGGTGACCATATCTTTTTGGGGGAGAGATGTCCAATAAATTTTTTACATCAGTTATAAATCGGTAATTGCTTATTCCTTTTATAGTTTGTAGAATCATCCGTGTTAAATTATGACCATTATATTGGACACTTATGAATACATATGAACATATATGTAACTTATTAACTAATATTAGTTTGTGGCTTTTACAAATGAACATACGTGAACATTTATTTGCACCTATTAAAACTTATGAAAACTAAAATAATTGGCTTTCACATGTGAACACATTAATATCTCGTCAAAGTGTTTTGCTTATGAACACATGTTGACCAAATGTTAGATGTATATAAATATTGTTTGAACACATTAGAACACATGTGAACAGTTATATACACCATATGGATATTGATGAACACTTAATTTATTGGCTTTCACATCTGAATACAACACATCCTTGTCATAAGAATTCAGTGCCAAAATCCAAAATAGCCATAATCATAAAATTGCCAAAACAGCCCCAAGAATAACAAGATAAATGCATTCAATATAATTCAAATGTTTGCAGCGTGTAAACAAACTCTACAACCGAGAATTATTACAAATCTAAAGGCAAGCTAATTCCACCCTCTAAGTCTAAGACAACTCTACAGTGAACCACACCCTTCCTTTACACTTGGAAGAATTTTCAACATAATATTTACCTGAAAGTGGTCGGCTTCTATATCATATGACTGGCACAAACTCTTAGGCCTTTCCTAATATCACATGATCACACGATAAAGTTATGAGTTCTTTGTATGATCATGTCTGACTATCACACGATTATCATAGTCTGTATCACAGGTTAGGCAACCGAGTTCGTATCACGACTAAGCACAGGTTGCATGACACAATTATCGATGTTATTCATAAAATATTGTATAATAACTACTGGTTTAAAAACTTAAAATATATTTACAACTTATAGTGACCTTATTAAACGTGTACACTAATGTGCATTTTTTATATTTTTTCTTTTAAAAAATCAAATGGATGATTTTCGTCATTATTATATCCATTAATTACTACAAATATAACATATTTAAAAATAATAGAAACGATAATTCACAAGTCAACACAAAAAAACACAATTATTTAGACCATCATCCAAGTTTAATTAAGAGGTCATTTACCAAACACTTACTTGGTAAGTGCTTACTAGCAAAAATTAACATTGTCATTTACTTACCGAGTAAGATTTTAGTCCATCAAAACGGTATTGTATGCAACAATTTACCCGGTAAGCACTTACCGTGGTAAGAGTCGTTGCCTTCGTTTACCGGGTAAGACTCTTGGTCATTGTTTCGCTCTTACTAGGTAAGATTATTGGTCCTTACCATATTCATCCGATAATGTAATGTGATTTGATAAACACTTACACGGATAAGCGTTTGGTAAACGGCCCCTAAGCATCATTTATCCACATGAAAACGACACTTAGTTTTCATAAATCTAAAATATACGTCATATGAAAACAAACCTTTGTCATGACATCACTTACAGTATATATCAATAATGAAGACGATTGATATTTCCGCGGCTTAATTATCTTGTTCTTTTTTTTCCTATCATATTCCAATATTCTTTCTTCAAATAATGATCAAGATCCGAAAATTTAGGGATGTGATGTTTTTTTTTTTTCATTTTGTAACGAAACTTAATATTTTAATTAAAATAATATAAATATGAGCCAAGAACTCGACATATATAGTTATAACGAGGATGAAAATAATAAAACACTTTTAACGACTAATTTTGAATGAAAATAGAGTTGCAACATCCATTTTTTTTAATGCAAGTATGAGTTTTAAAAATTGAATATAAGATCATTTTTTTTTTTTAAACAAGTTATAATCATTTTACATATTTTTTCAAGTACATTTCCTCTCTATCTTTTTTATAATTCGGAATACTGATTTATTTATTTTTCTTAAGAAATTATAATCAAAACTATTAAAAAACGTCGTCACTTTAATAATTGGTGGTTTAAATTCAAAGGTAGGAAGTATGAATCATAGTATCCATTCAAACGTCATGTGCATACCAATAACTTTCTTAAAAGTGGATATATTTTTCTTTATATAATGAATTATTTAACATATCAATTGTTTTTTAAGTAAAAATAAATTGAGTTAGTGATCACCAACGAGCAAACGTTATTCATACGAAGTGCAAGAAATGAGGAACTTCAAAATACAAAACAAGACAAAAGTTAAAATGGGACTCTTGAACGAGAGCATGAGCCACTCCATTAACTTGTCTCCTAACCAACTGAACCGAGAAGAAGTCATAAAGGTTCAAAATAGCACAAGCAAAAGTATCCTTAAACTCCGAACAACCATATTTCAAGGAGTCGATGGCATCAACCACAAGCTTGGCATCTATCAATATTATCCCTAACTCCGAATAATCTGTCTCAAAAATTACTTGTTGTAGCCGAGATTCTACAACCCATTCAAAGGCACCAAGAAGGCCTAGAGCTTCATAATCTCAGACTGAAAGTAACCCATAAGTACTATACAATTGAGCCACGAAGACGTTGCTAAAACATATTAATTGTTTATTACCATAAATGTTATTTATACGAGTTTTATAATGAAAAATATATAAGAAATTATATGTAACAAATGAAATTCTCTTAATTATTTTTGTTATATGATATTTTGTTTCTTATACATTGTATAAAATTTTGACGCCAATTATAAATAGTTCCATAGTTTATATAACATAAAAAACTATAATAATATAAAAAGTTACTTACTATAATTAAGCTAATAATTATATTGATTGTAGGATACGTATTTTATTAAAAAAATGGTTTATGAATATGAATTAATTCTATGCTACATAAATAAAAACCAGTTTAACTCAATAAATATATAAAAATTAAAATGGTCCCTTGACTTGGAGTCAAACTTTTTTTTTAATAAATTGATCATCGGTAACTTTTATTTTATATTTTTTTCACGCAATTAATTCTATCTTAACAAAAATGATACCAAATCAATTATATCATTTATTGGTGAATATCTTAATACAAATCTATTTCTGACTATTTAAAAACTATCAATTATTACAAAACGGTATTAATTAAATGTATTCAACCTACAAAATCCTATAGTTCAAAAGGTCACGCTCCGGTGCTCCTCACTCCTACAGAAAAGCAGTCCAATCTTTAGGCCACTCAGATCGAGAATAGTTCTACCAACGTGTCACGATCTCGATACCAAGACATCGACCACGACATTTGTGTCAATCATATCTTATCATGCTCTCCACATCTCTCTAGTACACGTCAGGAGTTTCCCCCGATTTTTCTCATTGGTCAATCTGTCATTAGTTTGTGGGTGTCTGTTGATGACTATAGATATAGCGGCCCTGTATATATATGCGGATATATCGGTTTCCAGATAGTGAAACCCTACGTTAGAGTCTTGCACGAGTTTCCTCATCTCTCTCCGCTTTCAGGAAGAGGGCAGACGCCAAATCAAAACACACACACACAGAGCTTAAACTTTCAACAATGGCCGCGATTGATCCAACTCGGGGGTTCCTTAAAGATGTTAAGCGTATCGTAATCAAGGTGATTGTTAGTTTCATTAATTTCTCTTTTTGGTGTATCTTATGGATTGCCAGTTGCGTTTGATTAGTTTCTTGGATTAATTGATAGTTTTTCCGATGCTTTGATCCCTAAATCGTATGATGTGCTATATTTCAGATTGCATTTGTGATTTTGCTTTTTTCTCTTTATTTTATTAATATTTGTGTCTATGTGCTAAATCAGTCTGTAATCATGTAAGGGTTTTGACCGAGATTGATTAGAAATTGAGTGGGTTCCTCAATGTCGATTTTTTTAATCCACTGCAATATATTTATTTGACCTTCTTTTTAACCTTTTCATAATGTTAGGCGTGTAGCTAATCCTTGAATTGGAATTAATCTTTTTTACTTGTGATGATTATAAAGGTGGTATAAATTTTCAGGTGAAAATGTAACTCTTTTGTAACAATTACCAAAGACTGAATGACAGAATGAGTTATATGCTATATGGTGCTACCACTCCTCAAAATCTTCCTAAAGGATACTTGGCTAAAAGTTTAAATACCACATGATTATGCCACTGCCAAGTGTATTTGGAAGGATTTTGATGAGATTTGGGGGGAGAACTCTTTATAGTTCTTCGTGTAGAGGGTTTGATGGTACTAATGGAAAGTATGAATGATATTATTTTGTGGTAGGGTCTGGTATTTGATCAAGAAGGAAAATTTAGTCCGAATGACGAATATCATCTGGCTATCTGAACCCTATACAATTTATGGAAAGCAGACTGCCATGTGCGTGTATTTTTCGGGATATGTCCATAATGATTACGAAATTTCATTTAAGAATAACTTACAGAACATCTAAATTTGATGGTCGGGGTTACAACTGAAGTAAATAAAGCACACGTTAGATCTACATCTCTCGCCATGCTAGACAAGAAAGTGAAACCACGAGCCTGAATACAAACTATATATGTATTGATTGATCGGCTTTAACATACAGGGGAGTTGATTGCATTTTTTTTGCAGGAATTATTGCCATCCAGAATACTAATGCAATTGAATCTACCATGTTTCTGAAAACAGTGTGATTGATATAAAGATGCAAACTTGGCTAATTCAATTGATTCTACCATGTCAATTTTATGACACAGTTTGTCCCTTTTTATGTTGCATCTACATTTTACTGCTCAAAATCTTGCCCATGTAGAAATGCTAATAGGACATCTACACCCTTATCTGCATACATAACCTCTGAAGAGAAGAAGTATAGGATTGAGCCACAACATGTTCATACACTTTGTTATTTGCATAGATTAATGAACTGATCATCCTTTTGATTTAAAGGTCGGGACGGCTGTCGTCACCCGAGATGACGGAAGACTTGCGCTTGGAAGGTTGGGAGCTCTGTGTGAGCAGGTAAATTATTTATCAGAACTTATTTTCATACTGTTTGGGTCATTCTGTGCTGTCATTCTTATTTTCCTTTACTCTTCTATTTTTGTTTTAATCGTCCTTCATTATAAATATCTATGCCATGTCTTGTATTCTCATTGTGATTACTTATGTCCTAAATGCAGATTCAGATACTAAATTCTCAAGGATTCGAGGTTATCCTGGTCTCATCAGGTGCTGTTGGTGCTGGTCGACAGCGGCTTAGATACAGGAAATTAGTCCATAGCAGGTACTTATATGATTTAACTGGAACATAAACTTCAATTTGCATGGAAACTGGTTAATACTGAAATTCTTTTAATGAATTTCTAATAGACTCACCTACAACATGGTGATAGAATTTATTATGATCATTTGTCAATATGTACCGAGAAAGTGAGATGTAAGGAAATGTGACCATTGTTAGCATTCACAAGTTCTTGACAAATTTGAAATGTAGACAAGAGAAACTCAAAAACTGGAGGTATGTAAATCACTTACCCCTAACAAACACCAAGTATATAATTTTATTCAGTTGTAGGATCATCATGAAATTAATTTTTATTTCTACTCAACTGCTTTATTCGGGTGTGCATGGTGTCTGAAGATGTTATCCATGATAGTGTCTTAGTTAATTAATTATGAAGTGTAGATCTCTGAACCTTTAGAGTTTGGATGTCTTACCAATCCCAAATTAACATATAAAAAACATCAACGATGATAAGTGTAGAAAGGAGAAGATGGTAGCAGTAATGGAGTTTTGGTTGGTTCCATCTGATTTTGTAATCAAGGTTGAAATTCTTGCTAGTAAGTAGTAACATGCTATAGACTCAGATACTCCTATCTTCCCAAAACAAGTGCAAGGTTTGACTTGTAATATAGTCTAATGAGAGCGGTTGACTAATGTCTCCAAAATATTGTTATGATTACATAACTAATGAGCAAAGAGGTAAATCTGGGTTGTCTTTCAATATTGTCTATTTTGGGACAACTCAGAAATACAATTGTTGCAAAGGATGGGATGAGTAGTATATTTGGATGAAGCATATTTAACCATTCTGCATTATTGTGTGCTTATTTCTGTTTTATGTAAGCCATTTTGCTTCCCTGTCCTTGTTTTTAGAAATTGTTTCCCTACCCATATGCTCTAATTGTAGTTATAACTTACAGATTACTAACTTCAGTTTTAATTGTAAATCTAACAAGTGACTACTGGAATTTGTTTCAGTTCAGAGGATACATTTAAATGAGAAGTGCGAACATGAAATTTATCTTAGGAAAATTAGATAATGTATCTATTTCAAATATATGTTCTGATGAGTACAGGAGGTTTGTTGACAAACCTGTTTGTAGTGCCGGTGCTTCATAGTCTCCAGTTGGTCGAATATATAATGACTAATGAATGTTTATGTCTTGAAGCTTTGCCGACCTCCAGAAACCACAAGTTGAGCTTGATGGCAAGGCGTGTGCAGCTGTTGGACAAAATGGTCTCATGGCACTTTATGATACATTGTTCAGTCAGGTTCATTTTATTTCGTGCATTTCTATTCGCTTTTTCCTTGTTTAATCTAGTTCTCATGATCATTCTTCTATTCTTAGTTTCTGTTGCATATGCAATGTTGAAATCAGATGCTTGCTATTTTGTTTGCAGCTGGATGTGACATCAGCTCAGCTTCTCGTGACCGATAATGACTTCAGGAGTCCAGAGTTTAGGAAACAACTTACTGAAACAGTGGATTCACTATTGTCGTATAAGGTTATTCCCGTATTTAATGAGAATGACGCTGTTAGTACTCGTCGAGCTCCATATGAGGTATGCTTCCGTGTTCTTCTGTTGTTTTCCTTCTTAAACATTTAGTTCAAAAAGTTCAAAAAATCCAGTTATTTCTCTTTCCCCCTCCTATACATACATTAACTTGAGGGATCTCTTTTTCCTCTCTTATGGATGCAACTATCATTTAGGCATTGCTTACGAGGTCAGAGATCCCCTTTAATGCTCCATTGTTGTCTCCCTTTCGCCCCTGTCTCTCTTCCCTCTCTTTTGGCTTCTCTTTGGCAGGGAGACCTCCCTTTTTTTTTCTCTTTGTCATGACTCTGATAAACCTCTTGATTTTTCTCTGCATGTAAATTTTAGATTCATTTGAAAGAAATATGATGACTAAAGTCTCTATTGTATTGCATCTTCAGTTGTACTCATGATACTTGCTTACATTTCATACTAATGCTGTGTAATTCTTACAGGATTCTTCTGGTATCTTCTGGGATAATGACAGTTTGGCTGCTCTACTAGCTTTGGAGCTAAAAGCCGACCTTCTTGTTCTGTTAAGTGATGTAGATGGTCTCTACAGTGGCCCTCCAAGTGATCCTCAGTCAAAGCTAATTTATACGTACATTAAGGAGAAGCTCGAGAATACAATTACTTTTGGCGACAAGTCAAGGCTAGGAAGAGGCGGAATGACCGCTAAAGTAAAAGCTGCTGTTTATGCTTCACAGGCTGGCATCCCTGTCATTATAACGAGGTATGCTTTCTATTGGAGCAAGGTAGTTTTACCTTTAGCTATATTGATGTTGTAAGGCTGTCACTCAGATTTGAACAAGGACATGGACATTTAGATTATGAAAACAGCCATTGATAGTCATATAGCATGCTTTACTCCCATTGCTGGATCTGATGCACTGGTGTTTCCTTTAGTCATCATCAGCATACATACCAAACCAAACGAGCCCAGTATATCCCAACCGGAGTTAGGATCCCTGGGTGGGGATATGTATACACACCTGCATATTTATGTTAAAAAGGAAGTACTGTTGTTTAAAAGTCTGAAGCAATTAAACTGAGCTGTTATGATCTCATATTAGTACTAGGAACTAGAAGTATTACTTCACATGTTTAGGAACCACAAAAGGATGGAGCTGAAACTGTATGCTTCCAGACCTGAACTTAATCAGATTCCATACTCTAGAGATCTATCAACGTTTGTGCTCTACAGAAAAAAGTTAGCTACAAAAATGTATGTATACTTAACATTTGTCTGGTTACTGAATGCTAATATCACCTAGGAGTCTCTTTGAAGAACTTAGATTATGAGATATATTCTTGATGTTATTGAGTAATATTATTTACAGAGAATTTCAAATGCTCCAAATTCCTTATTCGTTTAATTGGTTGAGTATTTAATCCAGTAGGTGCTTAATGCTGTTGGAAAATTTAACTGTAGTTTCCATCTTTGTGGGACAAAATATAAGAGGTGATCTTTCCAAGTGAAGACAAGAAGTCTTCTATGATATATCATATAATTTACGAAACTTCAACTTCTTTTAGGCAGCTTTCCATGATTCAAGTGAAATAGAGTAATCATTGTATATATTCAATAACTTCCAGCGGAGGTCATATCATTATTCAAAGAAGAGAGACAGTTCATTTCAATTTTCTTACAAGATTAACAGCATCTGAGCCACAACATTTCAAATCATGGTATCTAGAGGAAACTAACTGCTATTTGACGACGTTCTGCTAAAATCCTGTTTCAGGCTAACTGGTATGTGGGGCTGGGGGATCTTCCTCCGAGTCACCAATAAAAGATCACTCTCATCTGTTCTAACAAGAAAAATAATTTGCTTCAGATCCCAAACTTTCTTATATCTAAATAAAGTTGAACTCCCTGTATCTTTCATGGGTAAAAGACAGCTGTGTGTGAGAGCAACCATAGGTGATTGGTGGCTCTGTTCTGGATCCGTTACTCCTAGTTGCGTGCTATTTGCTGTCTTTTTTTTGAAGAATATAATATTTATATAGGGCAAACAAAACTCTCACACACTCCCCACCTTTGGAGAGGTTGGAACCCTTGACCTTTAGGAAGGTTGGGTTACCGGATACTGCTAGGCCAAAGGCCCTTCCGTCTGTCTTCTTATTGTTTACATAACTAACACGTGATCTCTTTGATTAAAATGTTTGAAGTGGCTTTGCCGGGGACAATATTATTAAAGTTCTCCAAGGACAGCACATTGGTACACTCTTCCATCAGGATGCTCATACATGGGTCTCAAATGGAGAGTTAAATGCACGTGAGATGGCAGTAGCGGCAAGGGAAAGTTCCAGGCGCCTTCAGGTATCATCTGCTTGCTTCACTGGTTTTAAGATTCTCGATACCGACCTAAGAGTAAGAGGCGAACTCTGCCTCTTTTTGGTGATTAATGGGTTTAATCCTGTTCAGCACCAGAGGTTTGATCTATTGATACATTTGAATGCAGGCCATGCCTGCGAAAGAAAGAGCTAAGATTTTACTTGACATAGCTGATGCCCTGGAAGCAAATGAGAAAGTGATCATACATGAAAATGAAGCTGATGTTGCTAGTGCGCAAGATGCTGGATATGAAACATCATTAGTCTCTCGGTTGGCTCTGAAGCCTGGAAAGGCAAGTCATGCTTGATTTTGTGGTCCTTCTTGATGTAGAGCGTTCATTTTGCTTCTCATCAACTTTATTTTGTAATTCTTTTCTTCTTCTCTTCAACCTGCACACATCATAACTAGATTGCACAGCAGTTCTTTTTGGAAGTCTCAGTTCATCGTATTTTATAGGTCTCTAGTCTTGCGAAAGCCATACGCGTGCTTGCAAATATGGAAGAACCGATTGGACAAGTATTAAAAAGAACAGAGGTAAGGAATTGGCATATTGATGCTGCTCTATTTATTGCTGGTTATTTTTAAGAAAATAAGGATGCATGTGAAGTATCTAGTAAATGCAAGTATAATGCTCATGTTTTTGTTGATAAGAAATATGCAGACCATATCTAATCATGATTCAGCTTAGGTATCCTTCCCATGATCTCTAATTTTTCCGAATGGAGAAAAAGCATTTTGTATTCAAACTTTTATGTTTTGTTTTGTGGATCCTTCTGTTCTCTAATAACTATTGTTTTATCCAGCTTTCAGATGGATTCATTTTAGATAAGACATCGTCTCCTTTGGGTGTCCTGCTTGTTATCTTTGAGTCCAGGCCTGAGGCGCTAGTTCAGGTATATACATGGCAAACCCTGTTGCTAGGTATCTTAATTAATCAAGCTTCTTGGTGGACCTTGATGATGCTTTACATATCATTACATTTATTAGGACTATATCATCCACAACTTGAGTGTCATTTTTCCGAGTTCCATATTGCATGTTGTGTTCACAGTTTGCATATCTGATTACTTTTGGCGCTTAAAGCTATTATTTTACTTTTGGGCATGGCCTCCTGAGCGCACCTGACATGTCACTGCTTGAGAGAGCATCTGAAACTTTGAGTTGATCTCATAGATATTCGGAATCTGAGGTTTGACAAAAGAGACATACTACCTTGCAAGCTTGCAGGAGCAGTTCTTCATATATGATTGCTACCCCCACGCCCATGCACCTACGACAAACCAACATGCCGTACAAGAAGAAACATGAAAAAGAAACACATAGAACAAAATAAAATGCCTAGATTGAATATGTTGACATTACGGTTTGCTGATTGCTGACTTGCTAAGTTAATGATTCTCTTCCAAGTTGCCACGATATCATTTTTTTCTTGTAAAACTGCCATCATGTGTAATAACTTTTTAATATGTATTTCACATGCAACTAGATTGTTTCATTTCTAAGCAATTCTTGGGTTTTCTCACAATGTGAACAGATAGCATCATTGGCTATCCGAACCGGGAATGGGCTCCTATTGAAAGGGGGGAAGGAAGCAAGACGGTCCAACGCAATCTTGCACAAGGTCATTTTTCTTTAGTAAATGAATCAGTATATGTTTGTTTCATTTTATCTTACCATTCCATTTTACAATGTTGCTCTTGGTCCCCCATCATTTTAGATTATTACTACAGCCATACCAGAAAACATTGGTGCAGGACTAATCGGACTTGTGACTTCTAGAGAAGATATTCCTGAATTGCTTAAGGTTGGTTGTATATAAAGCTGAATATGTAAATAGTGTTATAGGTGTAAATGGTTTACTCAATAACCATCGGTAACATGCAATTATAATTCCACTGCAGCTTGATGATGTTATCGATCTTGTGATTCCAAGAGGCAGCAACAAACTTGTCTCTCAAATCAAGTCTTCAACAAAAATTCCTGTTCTAGGTCATGCTGGTAAGATGGTCTTAATTAGGAGTCATAGAAACAATCAATGTTGATGCATCCTTTATAGGTCAAGCATGTTCCAGAGGCAGGATGATGTAGTAAATCATCTTCCTTTAATTTTTCAGATGGAATTTGTCATGTCTACGTTGACAAATCTGCTGATATGGAGATGGCAAAGAACATAGTTTTGGATGCAAAAACAGATTACCCAGCAGCCTGTAATGCTATGGTATTTATCTTCCTTGAAACTTGTGGTACCCCTCTCCTCTATAGGTCGATGTTATGCTTTAATCATGTCCCTTCTTCTTCTCTTCTCTCTGATCCTAGGTTGGATGGTTTAAATTGTAGAATGTATTATGGAAATGCAAGTACATATATGTTTGTTGCTTAGTTTATTTGTGGGAGAGTTGCTTGATATATGAATTGCTTATTTCAACCAGGAAACACTTCTTGTTCATAAGGAGCTGATGGAGAATGGTGGTGTTAATGAGCTTCTCATTGAACTTCAAACTAAAGGTAAGAAACTATTTACCCTTACAGAAACAAGCATTCAGAAATCAGAAGGTTAACACCTATCCATCTTTCTGTCTATTCATCTGTCTCTCTGTCAATGTTCTTATTTGCACACACACATATGTGTGCTAACTTTCCCACACTGAAACTATGGACTTAAGATGTAAAGCACATACTTACCTAAAAGTAACTCCATTGGTTTTCCTTTGTCTGTTCAGTAGGAAGTGGGATGTAATGTATTTGTTAAAAATGAGATGGATGCACCACAACTTTTCCATATTTGGAGATGATTATCAGTTCTTGTTTCCACTGATTGTCAGAGTGACACTCTTGCTAAAATGTGTGTCCCATGTTTAATGATCACCACCTCAGATGTTCTTGATCCATATGTTTCTGCATATTAATATTTCAGTTCAACATAGTTGTACATCATTTCATCTCTTGGTTACTTGTCTCCTTCCCTTTGTAACCTAAAACTGGAGGCATCCACCGTTTCTGATTTACAAGAGATAGGTATACGGCTACTTGTTGCTTTGGATCTTGGTTTTTATAATGATCACTGAAGAAATATGTTTTTTTGTTTTCTTAAAAGAATTACATGGATACAGATTCCAAAAGAAGACGAAAACAGAAAGAGTCAACAACCAAGTTCATCTAAAGATGTAAACCCATTACCAATTATTTTAACGAACAACCATTACTTCATATATATATATATATATATATATATATATATATATATATATCTGGGATGAAACTTAAACTATGCAACCTACTCGGTTCCAAGCAAATCAAACACCATAGAACTTATTACAACTAAATCCCAACACAAGGTGATTCTAATTCCCAAACTGGGTTTTCCTTTCATTGGTTACTTCCTGCCAGTCCTCTATTTGGGAGACTGCAATAGTTCACATCTAATGCTCCAATGTTAACCAAAAGTCCAAAACCAGCTCAAAGACATCGTTTATGCCATCTATTCCCAAATTCCCCCTGCAATAGTTCATATTTGATCCCTGAGTAACTCGTGACAGCTCTGAGAATTATAAGGCTAGTATTTGTTGAACATTGAAGATAATTCTTTTAGCCAAATTATAAGCATGATCAGTTCACCTTTCCTGTGATTATTAAGGCTTGCCTAATGGATTTGAAAATTATGTCAATGTGTTTGTTTCAGGGGTTAGCATAAATGGTGGACCAAGGGCAAGCTCAATGCTTAATCTTCCACCAGCACCTTCATTTCATCACGAGTATAGTTCAATGACTTGCACCATTGAAATTGTGGATGATGTGCATGCTGCCATTGATCATATACACAAGCATGGAAGGCGAGTTATCTTCTCTCGTCGAACTCTTTCTATGTACTTTTTGATTTTTGTGTCTTCTTTTATTCTTTTTACATGATGCTTATAGAGCTCCACAATGGCTGATTCTATATGCAGTGCACATACTGATTGTATTGTTACAGAAGACCGTGAAGTTGCGGATGTCTTTCTACGTCAAGTTGACAGGTTTTTGTGTTTTTATCTTGCTACTTTTTGCATGTTTACGATCATGGTTAGACGTCCTAAATCTTATCCATCTGTTTTTAGATGTGAATATGTGCAGTTTTGTCTGAATAAGGAAATTCTAATGGACGAGATTGGAAAATTGAATATTTCTGTTTTATGGGTCTTACTCTTATTAATGCACAATTAAAGAATCCACTGCTTGGTGCATTTGCAGTGCTGCGGTATTTCACAATGCAAGCACAAGATTTAGTGACGGATTTCGCTTTGGTCTTGGCGCAGAGGTATCATATTTACATTTCTTCTTTTGGAATCACATTTTGCTAGTTAATGCATTGTCCTCACTGATCGATAATACACAATGATTGTTCAATCGCACAACAGGTTGGTATAAGTACCAGCAGGATCCATGCTCGCGGCCCAGTAGGAGTTGAAGGATTGCTTACAACACGGTGGTATGTTCTGCCTTTTACTTATTTACTTTTGACAAATTTCATTTGTTATAAAACGACCTATGGTTATTCAAAATTAGCTGCAATCTATATATAGCATGGTGTGAGAAGTTTTTCTTCTTTTCGTCGGGTTTTTGTTTCTCTTTAATTAGAAAAGAGATAATCGCTAATGCTTTACGTGCCATTCCTTGCTAATTGTAATTTGCATATTAGGAAGAACAATGTTCTATAATGCATAATTGCTACTAATTCTGATCAACATAAGATAAAAAGGACAGCACAACAGTATCAGATTTCGTCAAGTGCAGTACTTCGAAAGATATTTTTGTCTTTGACTGCTTTTGCGTTTAAGAAAAAAGAGTTATTTTGCATTCAACCTTTTGTGTCTATGGTTCTTCATTCCGGGACCTTCTGATCTTCCGATACTTTAAATTGGGAGATTGGACATCCTGGTCCATCCAATTAGGCGCCCTTCAACTAAGTGAACAACTCATGATGAGGCCAGATTATAGGCCGTTCTCTGCATACAGCTAATGTCAGTAATCTGTATATTTGATTCGCTTATCCAAGATATATTGCAAATATTATTGGAGTATCGTGAATCTTGCTACGAGCATAATAAGCAAGGTGTTCTAAACGTCCGAGACATGCCCTAGAATGAAAGGCAAGCTCCCGATTTGCTGACACAGTATATGGTGGTGAACTTCTCTTTCCATTGGGATGGGAGAGGGGGTTCTCGAAACAAATTTCTAAGATGGATTTTCAAAGTTATCTGGATTCTTATGCTGTTCAGGATAATATTTTTCGATTGTAGTTGCAAGTAGCAACCTCATATCTTGATCATCCTGGCCTGCCGCTAATGGAGGGAGTACCATGTTTACAAACTATGTTAAATCAAGTATCCTGTGGCCTCTGTTTGCCATAAGAATTGCGAAGGGGGTTGGACAATTCTGATCATATCAAATCTGTTTATCTGTGTGGATGGACCAACTTTTACTACATTACTATAGTGCAATGTACAGAATTTGGTTCAAGTGTCTTTCCTCAAGGGATGATGCCTGACTGATTCTCCAGTAATGTTCTTAGAGCATAGAAGTTCCTACAGGACATTACCGATGACTTCTAAACCGTGAAAAACTGAAACTATTTGCTGCTTGGGGAACCTGTATTGGTGAAGGACAAAAATCTCAGAGAAGATAACTATAGTTGCCAGAATTGGGAACTTGGGTTTGTCCCTAAGAATGCTGTAAAGAAAATGTGGTATTCTAAGACTAGGTGGTCTCCTTTAGTAAGAATTCTCAAGACATTAGTCTTAGTAATCCTGCAATAGCCTACTCGTCTCTCTTAATTCACTTTTCTTTTTCTGAATTTCTTATCTGCACAGGCAACATTGAAGTCGTTTTGCATGATGTCCTTTACCAAATTCTGTTGGTGCATAAGTGTCAAAAAATCTTGCAATAATGCAATCAAAATTAGCTTTGTCTTGGAAATAAATGTAATTATATAGCAGGAATAGAATAACAAATATCTGTTTGAAAATACTCCCGTGCTTGCCATCTTAGCAAGTACCCAATTTAGTTTCTCATGGTACAAGTGTGCTTGCTGAAGGATTTAAGAAAAAGAGAGGTTATCACTTGTAAGATTGCATGGCTGTTAGGGGATATTTAATTTCTGCTGGGCTTGTCCAAGGGGTTGTCAGTCTTTTGAGTAACCTAGAGGGCTTGAGTTCGAATCCCAAGTTTTATCAATTGGATGCCATGGGTGCATCCTTGGCCGCCCGGGAGGCAAAGGTTCCACCCCCCTTGGATGTGGTTTCCTGGGTCTTCAAAGAAACAGGTGCACCCATAAATGATTGCACATTGTCCAAAGAGCCTTTGGTCTAGCAGTGTAAGGGTTTAAACCTCACCAAAAGTGCGGAGGGTTTGTGAGTTTATTTGTTCTATTTGCGGTATATAAATATTATATACTTCAAAATGATTGCACATTGTCCCACTAGGTTTTTCATGTCAAGTTCTCGCTGTATGATATCATGAAAGCAGAAGTTCCTGGTTACTCTTGTGTTCTCTTTAGCAGATTGCTGCAAGTATTAATTCATGGTCAGCCTGTATTGTTTCTCTCATCTTCTTTCAGCGTGCGACAAGCCCTCACGTACGATGTGAAGCCTGGTTTGGCATGGCTGCACCCTCTTTATAGTGTAGAGGGTTGTGGAAATGAAAAAGAAAAGGAAACAAATTATAATTCCATGAAATTCTTTGATGCATAATTGTTCTCACAGTTGACAACTTGTTGGTTTCAGGATTGCGAGAGGAAACGGACAAGTGGTGGATAATGATAAAGGGGTTGTCTATACTCACAGAGACCTCACCCTGCAAGCTTAAAACTATGTTTGTTTCAGTGGTGAGTTGAAGCTCTCGAGTATGGCAAAAAAAAACCGCTACCTGAGTCTGTGCTTATGAAGTTGAATGAAATTAAGCTATAAAGGGGGAAAAAAGCAGATAAGGGAAAGATGGTCCGGGTGTTGTACCATAAGATTTGAACGGCTTTGGAATTGAATGCGTTCGTGACTTAAGCGGACCAGGCTGTGAACACAAGTATTGGTTGATTGATTATTATGGATGGAACAAATAGGTTTAGTTTTGGGTCTAATTTGGTGTAGTGAAGTGAAATACTACTCATACCGTCTCTTGTTAAATTTATGTGTCCTTATAACTTAATGGTGGGTTTCTTTCACTTTTGAGTTTTAAAAGGTTTTTAGTGGACGGATTAAAGCATAGGATAGGTTGGTTATCAAGGAAACCCTATAAAAATTGAACCTCATCATGAAGTAAGGCGAAAAATCGTGTGGGAATGAGAGTTAAGGTGAGAGGAGATATAGACCCTTGATCATCTTTAATTTCAAATCCATTTGTGAATCGTGTTTAATATGGGGATTGATTCGATATATCTTATCCTAATATGCATCAAAGAGTGAAGATCCCTTCTTACGTTTTTCACATTTAATTCTCCTTCTCATTCGAACACAATCCCATAAAGTAAATTCTAATCGTATTTGTACTTGTAAAGTAAATTCTTCCATATATTAAGAAAAGAAAATATCCATGAAAATGAGTTGACTGTGTGTATAATTTTATATGTTGCTCCAAAGTTCAACCCAACAACTTCTTTGAATGGTTTAAAATCAAGTTTCATTATTTGTGGCAACGAGTGTATTGTACGTCATTAGATCCTTTTGAATACACTATCATTATGTTCTTTTTTATAGCTAAACTTAGTCGTCAAATTTTTGAACGGTTTTACCTAAAATAAAAATACTATATGGAGAGAGAGAGAGAGAGGAGTTTACGGGAGAGATTCCATTCATACATATAGGGTTAGATTTCAGTGAGAATGAAAATTATGATGCAAATGATAAGAAGGGATCTCCATCGTTAGATGAATATTAGGATGCAGATATACCAGATCAATTCTTGTATTAAATGTGATTCATGGGTAGAGTAATATTACAAGTGACCAAAAGTCTGAATCCTTTTTGCCTTGTCACCTTAACTTCACGATCCTTGGTCTCTCTCTCTATATGTAATTTGTTTAAATGTAAAAATGCTTTTTGGTGACATCTGAACCCATTTGAAGGGAGCATATTTATTTATAATGGCCTCCAACATCATATATTAATTAATAAACCGAAAAGAGGAGCGGCGACATGACGACAGAATGGATTGGGGTTCTTTCTTCCTTTACAATTGGAATTGGGGGAAGGTTGTAATTATAACACAGAGTCAGTCAGATATGAAATCTTTGTTTGGGAGTCCGGGGAACCCAACTGGGCTTCTGTTGAGGATGGGTCAGTGCTTATTTGCTGCTGCTTCTCTTGCTCTCATGGCTTCTGCTTCTGGCTTCTCCACTGCTACCTCCTTCTGGTCTCTCTCCCTCTCTCTCTCAAATCTGGGTTTTGGATCTTGGCCCTTATTTCAAGTGGGATTTCCTTTTTGTTCTGTATGTGGCTTTAATTACATTTGTGCCTTCGTACCTAAACTTGAAGATGATTGTTGATGATGGGGTTTGGTCTACTATATCCTTTGCACTTCGTTTTGTAGTTCAAACACATATAACCCCCTTTTTTCCTAAATAACCACCTAATTTACTAAAAATGGGTAACCATTCAAGGAAGTTTGTGTTCTCTCTAGGAACCATGAGCAATATTCATTACTAATTCTGGCAACTTCTCGTTCCTGAGGACTCTGTACAATATATGTTTCTTGAAACAGTCAGAAGACATAATATTGACTGTTAGTTGTTGTTCATCCCAGTTACATTTTTGTGTTCTCTGAGTTCCCTAAATGCTTAATTTATAATTTTGGAAAGAACAGTTTGCATTTATAGCAGCCTTTTGTGCTATCTAATTTCAAGAGTATCATAATCTGGATTGTTCTTGATTTAGTGGAACCAAGAATGAATAAGGCCTTGACTAGATTTTGTTGGTATAAAGAATTTCTTTGATGCATTATGTATCCACTGTCTGTCTGATTGATTGGTATATATATATATATATATATATATATATATATATATATAGCTT